AAAAATGAAGTAAGTTTTCAGTTAACCCAATGAAAATATCTGGGACACTTTTTCTTCTTTTTTACTTATTAGTGTTATTCGCCAGGATTTTCTGCTATCCAATTTTCAGGCAGTGAGGTTTATACATACTTTTGAATAAAACCACATCTATATAATTTTCTTCAATCACTAAAACTGAACCACTTTTTTCTGTCAGTTCTGGAAAGAAAATTTTTCAAGCCAGTATGAAATTTGTCATGATATTTTTTTGTCTTAATACATTTTAACCAATGATGTTCCAGATACTGATTTTTACATCATTTAAATTCTAATGACCAAAGTCCCAATAGGCATGTGTTGGACATGTAATATGGACAAGAAATATACTTTTAGTATTTTAAGTTACTAAGATTTTGGGATTGGGGCTGGGGATTTAGCTCAGTGGCACAGTGCCTGCCTGGCAAGCGTGAGATCATGAGTTTGATTCCCGGTACTGAAAAAAAAAAAAAAAAAAACATTTTGGGATCATTTGTTACTGCAATGTAATGTAGCCTACACTGACTGATAAGTATACTCATTTTGAGAACAAATTGAAATAACAGTATTATAATTTTTGTAGGTCATAGTGACAAAAATTTGAGTTGTGTAGTTTTCTGTGCTGACAAGATATTTCAGAAACTCTTGATATATGCTGCATTCATTTTTAATTGAAAAATAACAATTGTAAATATATATAGTGTACAATATAATTTTTGATGTGTGCATACATTGTGAAATGTCTAAATGCAGCTAAATAACATATCCATTCCATGTTATGAGTTTGATGTAAATGAGTAGATCCCTACACTCACATGTTTAGGTTATGTATTTGTTTTCTAATTATAATCCGTTTTGTGACGAACATATTTGCAACAAATTTCTGTTACTAAATGGTATATTTCACTTGTGTATTCTTATCTGTATCAGTCCTCTTAGGGTTTTTATCCTCTGTCACGTGGCATGAACATCTGGGTGAATTTGAGAATATTGGGAACAGACCTTGAAATCTCTGTGGAGTAGGTAAGTGCTTCTGTATACTGCTGCCTGGATCATTTCTCTGCTTCTCCTTCTCCATTTACAATGTGAACATACTCCCTCTTTGGTGTTCTGTAAAGTCATCTCATAGATGAAAGAATAGCTAAATTGAGTTGCATATCCTTAGCTTTTCCTTAGGGAAAACTTCTAGAAGTAGAACTTAAGGTTCAAACAATCTCTCTTAAACAATTCTTAGTTGCAAAAAAATTAGTCACTTTCTGGTCCTTTATGTTTGCACAGAATCATTTATCAATTCAACTATTTCAAAAGGAATGAATAGTTAATAGGCTGTCAGAAAACTTAGATCAATAGCTGTCAAGAATTTTCAAATAGCATAGATAAAAATGTCTGAAGTTTAGTTTCAGTTTTAATATATAAAGATCACAGAATTTAAAATCTCAAACTTACTATAAGGAAAAGTAGAACAAACAGAAAATAAATGGTTGCTCTCAGGCTGCTCAGAGAACTAAGGTCACAGGACAAACTACTACTATAAAATCTGAAGAAATGGTTAAATTCAGAGCCAAATTTGAGATCTGTTTACCAAGAATAGAATCCAATGGAGCCATAAATTGTAGGAACACTTAAGCATTAATTTTGATGAATCCGTGGAGGCTCAGTATAGATCAGAAGAGTGAGAAATTTGGGGAATTTCTTCAAAGGCCTTTTGGCAACTCAGTTGTCATGGTAAAAAACCAAAATACTCCCTTTGGTATCTGGCAGAGGAAAAGCATATATAACCATCTTCAAATATATCCAGATTATCCTCCATATCATCTGACTATTCTTAAGAAAGACAAAATGCCAGAGTCTTACTCCATCTCAAGAATGACAGTTTTTCAATTCCACCCACATCCAGGAATCTCAGTTCAACTTGCTAGGAAAACATGTTAGTAAATAATTGTAAGGTCACAGATTAGAAGGAAATAGCCAACTCTAGCCATTTCTATATATCCTGTCTCTCCTAGTGTGGTAAAAAAAATTAAAAAACAACTGAGAAATACTTGTAGATGCTACAAACCAGGGATAAAACCTCACTGAGACATAATAATAGGACTAGGAAATATTCCCCTTCCCTCTACAACTTCGTACCCATCAATAAAACTTCTGTATTTCAGCGGGATTTCAAAATTGAAAAGTTGAAAATATCAAGACTCATTTAAGAAGATTCCAGGAAAACCAAAGACAACATTATAGACAAAAATAACATCAAAGGAAAATTTTGCTATAGCATACAACAAACACAGCTTAATTACCAGTAAATCAAAAGGCCTATTTATCTCTTTCCTTCACTTAGTATACACTGTTTTTAAGTAGCAACAACAACAAAAATACAAGTGATACTAAGAGATAAAAAAATGTGTAAAGAAAGCAGAGGTCACAAATAGGCTTATATACGACTGAGATTTTTTAATTATCTGACTGGAATTTTAAAATAACTGTGATTAATATTGTAAGATTCCTAATGGAAAAATTGGAAAACATGCAAAAATAGGTGGGTAATGGGTAATGAAAGCACAGAGATGGGAAACTCTAAGAAAGAATCAGAAGGAAATTCCAGAAATTAAAAGAAAAAAATTACAACAAAAATGAAGATTGTCGATAGACTGATCAAGTAATCTTGAAAAATGGTCCATAGAAACTGCCAAAACAGCAAAGAGGTAAAACAAAACAGCAAAGAGTTCAAACACATACATGTAATGAGAATACTATAAAAGGTGAAAGGAAAGGAAGAAATAATTGAAATAATAATAGCTGACTGTATCTCCAAATTAATGACATAACCAAATTTCAGATCTAGAAAACATGAAACAGGAAAAATCCTACACCTAGGCATATTATACTCAAATTTCAGAAAGTCAAAGACATAAAATATTGAAAGAAACCAAGGAAAAGAAACATTACCTAGAGGGGTGGGATAAGAAGTACCTTCAGATTTATTTTCAAAAGTCATGCAAGCAAGAACAGAATGGGTGAAATGTTTGCAGTATCAGAGGAAAAAACCAACAGAAAATTCTGTATCCAGTGAAATTACTCTCTTAAAGGATAAGAGCTGAGTGTAGTGGCACATGCCTGTAATCCCAGTAATTGGGAGGCTGAGGCAGGAGACTCACCATCAGTTTAAGGTTAGTCTGGGCTACATAAGTGAGTTCAAGGCCAGCCTGCATTACATAGTGAGACTCTGTCTCAAAAACAAACAAAGTGAAGAACTATATATTCTCAGACAAATAGAAACAGAGAATTTGTTCCCAGTAGACCTGCCCTACAGAGATTGATAGTTATCCTTCAAAGAGAAGAAAAATTCTATAGGTTGACAGATGTGCACAGAGGAAGAATATTAGACAAGAAATAAATGAAGGAAATTAAGTCTTCTCATTTCCTTTTTTCTTAATTGATTTAACATGTAACAATTTGTTGAAAATAAGCTTAGCAACGATATATATGGTGATAATGTCATATAGATAGGTGAAATGAATAATAACAAAGTTATAGGGGAAAAGAGGGAAGAATTCGCCATACTCTTTTATAAAGGAGTTTTCTCAAGAAGAAGGTTTAAGTAGTTGAAAATTTTATGCAGATACAATGTATTAAAGTTAGCATGCAACAATACAGTAGTTTAAAAAAAATTTATAGAACTTAATGCTTATATTAGAAAAGAAGAGAGATCTGGAATCAGTAGTCCAAGATTCCACTTAGGAAACTAGACAAAGAACAAAAATTAAAGTAAGCAAGAGAAAAATAATAAAAAGTTAGAGCAAAATTCAATGATATTAAGAACAGGAAATCAATACAGAAACTCAACGCAAAAAAGCTGGTTCTTTGTAAAGATTAATACAATTTTTGGTTCGCTCCCGTCCCGCGCCGGCGCCGCTGGCTGAGGCTTTGATCTGAAGGTGTGATCTAGGGAGCCTCTGCGCTTCGAGTCTAGCGTAAAACTTCTCAGCAGCTCCGTTATGGAATAGTGATACTTAGAAGGATCAGGGATCACATTTGCAGGCGACGACTGGAAGAGGAAGATTACCTTGTGCAGAGTCGTCGGCCACGCCCATGCGTTCTGATAACCGAGAGGACTGGGACGCCTTGGGTTCTTATTCGAGCGCCTGGTACTGTCTATTTATTGGAAGATTGCCCGCGAAGTGATCTGCGCAGGTATGTATCACTGAAGTCTAATTGCTGAAAAGATTTCCGCGGTGCTCTTGGTCGAGCGGCCGCCGCCGCGTAGTGGGCAAGAGGGGCCTCGGCGCCTCGGAGCGAGCTGACCCGCAGCGCCAACCGCCCCGCCCAGCTGCGAGCACGAACGCGCCGGCCCTGTTTCACGAGTGTCTTCAGGAAATGTGATCTGAAATACAGGGACTGCACCCTCTCAGTGCCGGCTCCTAAAAACATCTGTGTGTCCTCGTTCACCATAGTCGCCAGATCTGGCTCCAAGCACCTTCTGGCTCTTCCCCAACATCCAAGTGTCCATGGTGGCCGAGCATGTTGAATCCGTTCTGGAGATTGAGCAGTCAGGCCGATGCAGCTAGGATGCTCCGAGCCGTGATTCCTCCAGGTTCCTCAGGTGTCCCCACTGGGTCGTACCCGAGGTTCATCTGCCAAGGACCGCAGGTGTCACTGCAGTGTCTGTGTAGCAACAAACCGTCCCAGACAAGATTAGAGAGGAGTAGGGTATGAGCAAGGGCTGGAGAGAGAGCTTTTGAAGCTGAAGCCAGGGTAGGATAAAGTAACTTCAGGTTTAAAGGTCCCACATTTTGAAACAATTGAAAAACACCAGTCCTCAAAAAACAATGTAAAAACAGTCTGGTAATCTGTCATGAATTATTGTACAAAGAAGTACTAGAATAAATTGAAATCAGAGTATTTCATAACTATCAAATACTCTTTTAATTCTGATTCCAAACTATTTGGTGATAGTGAATGTATTAAAGAAGGGGAAAGTGCTGGAGATGTAGCTCAGTGCTTGTCTAGCATATGTGAGGCCATAAAAAGAAAGAATTGTGCACCAAGAGACCTGAAACCTGGCTGGCTATTGACTAGCTGTGTCATTAAGGGCAACATTGTGGCACTTTTCTAGATGCTTCTGTAATGATACAATGGAAATCTAAATTAGAAGCTCTGAAGATTTCATACCTTACTACTGTCTGACTCTATGAACTTGTGTCTTGTTTTATGATTTAACCAGAAATTACAAGAAAAATGAGAAAATAGATTATGTATTTAATAAATTTGCTAATCAAGAGTTAAGCACATAATTTTAAAAGTTGTAATGTTTTAACAAATGCTGTCAGCCATTAAAACCAAATTTTTAAATTACTTTTTTTGATGGAAAAGAAAGAAGTTATGAACTCTGAAATCACATAGCCTTGAGTTGCTCCATTCCACTAATTCTGCTGTTATCAGCCATTGAATTAAATTACCTGTTACTCAATTCTTTTGTCTGTAAAATGAAAATAATGTTAAAATTGTTGAGATGTGACTAAATTCCTTTTAAGATCTAAGCATACTGCTGACAACATAGTGAGGATTCATTCATAAAGATATTAGTATTTTCTTTTTTACTGTACCAGTTTTCCCATCTACATTATATATGATTTCGTGTTGTCACACTGGGAATTCATAATAAGCTAAAATATATTGTGTGCACACTACAAGCCAAGATCTGTGAATGTTCTACATATCTTTGAAACATTTAGATAATATCTCTGTGGGGTTCAGGATGTAGCTCAGCAGTACAGCACCTGCCTGGCAAGCATGATGCCAAGAGTTCGATTCCTGGTACCAATATATATATGGGAGAACTATTAACATCTCTTACAGATAGGGCACTGGAACAGAAACTTAAGTAACTTGGTCAGGACCACACCACCACTAAATGGTAGAGCTAGTAATCCATCTGATAATGCCAAGTAATTTAATTCAGTGGCCAATAACAGCAGAATTAGTGGAATGGGTGACAGTATCCAAGAATTCTAACTAGAACTCCAGTGAGAAATTTTAATATGCATAATCACAGATGTCTTACATATAAAATTATGAGGATAGAGTTTTGTTTCAGGTTCAACTGTACCAGCCCTAGTACAGTAGTTAGTAGCACCTGCATAGTTTTAATATTCTAAAATAGGGTTTAGTATCCGAAATCTGGCACATTGATCTGGGGTGTCCTGGTTTCCAGGACTGTAAGCAATAGATATTTGTCCTTTGTATAAGTAGGTAAATAAATAGTATAGTGTAACATAGCACAGTGTAGGGTTGCTAATTTATGGGAGAATAATACTTGTTTAAGATAGCAGATTTCTTTTTGTAAGTCTCCCCAAATACATGTGAAAATACCTCTACTATAACAAGTAATTAAATCTCTACCTTTTGCTCATGACTACTTAGGTAACATAGGTATTTCTGTCTGTCTGTCTGTATTAGTCGATGAAAGTACATGTAATTAAACATATAAATTGGGAAATTAAGTATCTTATAATTTTAGATAATTTCAAATTTATAAATGTCAAAACTATTTCAAAGACTGTTTAGACTTGATTCCCATCAAAGAATTTATGGATTTCTTCATTTATAAGGCTTCATAAAGAAATGGAAGTCATCTCATAAATATTCACAAGTGAATTAAGCACTTAAAAATAATTTCAAACCGGCATGGTGGCACAAGCCTGTAATCCCAGCAGTCGGGAGGCTGAGGCAGGAGGATCATTGTGAGTTTGAGGGCAGGCTGGGCTACGTAGTGAGTTCAGGGCCAGCCTGAACTACACAGTGAGACCCTGTCTCAAAAACAAAACAAAACAAAACAAAAGTGTAAGCTCACACTTTTGTATGAAGGAATCAAAGCCATACATTGCTCAAAGTCTTTTCAGCAAATGATGCTTGGACTACTGGATATACATATGGAAGAAAATGAATTTTATCTCCTGTGTCACACTATACACACACAAAAGAAAACTCGTGACTGACCACAGACCTAACTATAAAAGTTAAGCCATAAAGCTATTAGAAGAAAATGAACAATTTCTTCATGATTGGAAGTGTAGACAAAGGTTTCTAAGGCAGGATACATAAACTATATTAGGATGAGGGGGTGTGTAGTCAAGAAAGGTTGAGAAACTATTGCAAATTAAAACAAACTAAAGAGGCACAAACACTAAATCCAACATGTCTCTTGAGTTTTGATCCTGAGCCAGGAAAAAATAACTGTATAGGATATTTCAGGGCCACTTGGCAGAATGTAAACACCATGTGGATAAACAATAAATTTCCTGAGTTTGATAATAGGAAAAAAAAGAAGATCCCAGTGGATCAAAAACAACAAAAAATAACCCTGCAAGTAACAAACATGTATACCAATCTTCCAGGATAAGAGGTTAAAATGAAAAAGCCAATTTTTATAATATACTAGCAATGAGAAATTAGAATTTAAAATGCAATACAGTTTTATTTGTTAGCAATGACAGATGAAACATTAAGACAAATCTTACAAAATATCTATAAGATCTGTAACAGAAAAACTAAGTAACAATGAAAGAATCAAAGCTCTAAATAAATGGATAGATACTACATGTTCCTGGCTATTAACACTATATTATAAAGAAATCTGGTCTTTCATATTTGATCTAGATTCTATGCACTCCAAATCAAACACCTTGAAGTTATTTTGTAGCTATTGGTAAATTGATTTTGAAATACACTCAGACAAAGAAAAGACTCCTAAAAGCCAAAATAATATTCAAGGAGAAGAACAAAGTCAGAGGACTGACACTACACAATTTCAAGACTTATCGTAAAACTACCATGATTAAGAAAGTTTGACATTGGTGAACAGCAGACACTCAGTGCAACGGGAGAGAGCCCAGAAACAGACCCACAGACACAATTTACTGATATTTGACAAAGGGGCAATTGTATTTCAATGGAGAAAGGATACACTCTTTAAAAAATGATGCTGAGCAACTTGATATCCTAATGCAGAAAAAAAAAGGGAATTTACACACAGAACTTACTCTCTCACAAATACTTACTCAAAATGTAAAAGGAAAACCCATGAAACTCCTATAACACAGTAGATCTAGGCAACTTTGGGTTTACGAGTCCTTTTTAGATATAACCCCAAAAACACGATCCATCAAAGAAAAAATTGATAAGTTGTGCTTCATAAAAGATAAATCTGCTCTGCAAAGTACTCCATTAAAAGAATAATAAAAGACCAGTCAGAGACAGAATATGTCTTTACAAAACACATATATGTTAGAAGACTGGTGTCCAAAATATAAAACACATAAAATATAAAAACAAAAAACAACCAATTCAAAAATGGGCAAATAATTTGAATAGACACCTGCTCAAAAAAGACATACAAATAGCAAATGGGAATATGTAATAGATGCTGAATATCGTATGTTACCAGGAAATTACAAATTAAAGCAACATTAGAAAGCCACGTTAAGCTAAATAGGTAAAATAAATCTAAATCCATAATGACTCAAAGAAAAAGAATTGATCACATAAATCACACAAGAAGGGATATGCTAGTGTGCAAACTCACAGACATGTGGGAGGCACAGTGGGTTCAGAGGCAGAACTATAGTGATAATGAGCCAACACAACTACTTTTATGCAAAAGCTTTATGCTGTGAATTTTGCTATGTTTTGTGTCTAGATGTCCCCCTCAAGCCTCATACAATCATAGAGTTTTTTCAGAGGTGGCTGAATCTAGAGTGTATGATGGATTGGTAGTGCAATGTTGGGAATAAGGGTGCTGGAATCAAGGTTGGGTGATTATATGTGCACCTATGTTTATAGCGGCACAATTTATAATAGCAAAATCTTGGAAACAATCTAAATGCCCATCTACCAAGGAAGGGATGAAAAGAAAAGTGGTCTTTTTATGCAATGGAGTATTACTCAACCATAAAAGATGATAAGCTAGAGACTTTTATAGGTAAATGGATGCAACTTGAGTCCATATTCGTAAATGAAATAAATCAGACTCCTATGTGTAAGCATTGTATTGTCTCCCTAGTGTGAGAAACTGAAAGAGTAAATAAGATACTATAAATGTATATTAATCTGCAAATAATGTCATGTGAGCCTTCCAAAGTTCTTCCTTTTCAAAATTGCTTTAATGATTTCAAGTATTTTGGATTTTCATATAAATTTTAGAAAAACCTGCCAATTAATTTTTTAGAAAAACTTGAATTTTCATTAGAATTAAATTATTAGATCAGTTTTTGGAAAATTGTCATCTTCAAGTGTTTCATCTTAAAATGTTTTTTTACATCTTTAACTTCTCTGTAATGTTTTCTAGTTTTCTGTATACAGGTCTTGTAAATTTTGTGGTGAGATTTATCACTATTTCATATTTTAATACTCTTGTAAATGATGTGGTTTTGTTTTGCTTGTCACCATGAAGTGGAAATACAGTTGCTTTTCAATAAACATTTAAAAAAAAAACATTAAAAAGGGTGGTGATTACTGGATCAGTCCACTGATTAGATTGACATCACTCTAATACCAGTAGACTGGATACAATATAAGGGACAGAAAAAAGCTTGTCTTACTCTCAATTGTTGCTTTTGCTGTCTTCTGCCACTATGAATTGTTGCCCTTCTGCAGTGTGCCACCCTGTTTTGGAGTGAACAGATTATGGACTGAAAGATGTACAAATTGTGAGCTAAATAAATCTTTCCCCCTATTACTTTAGGTGTCAGGAATATAATTCCAGCAATGAGAAAAGTAACTAAGACAGGATTTGGTACCAAAGAACTAGGGTCATTGCTGTGACTATACCTGACCATATGGTTGAAGAGCCTTTGAGAATGGCTTGTGGGAAGAATATGGAATGATTCAGAGATGCTGGCTTAAAAAGTAGTACTGGAACACCTTAGTCTATACTGTAAGGGAGATTCTAGTAAGAGCTCAGAAGACCAGAAGGCTGATAGAAATCCTGCAGTAAAGACCAGGCTTCTAAGGTCTCTGCTAGGAAGAAGGACTGCATTGGCTGTTGGACTCCAGACAATGTGTGTTATGGTTTGGCAGAAAGTTTGTCTGCATTGTTTGTTCATGTCTAGAGACTTTGCCTGAGACTAAGATTGAGTGTGGGGGACTAACTAATATAGCAGAAGGAGTTTTAAAGTGGTCTGATGTTCAAGCCATGGCATGGCTACTGTTAGAGGTTTTTAGCCAGATTTATGTTGAGAATCAAGAACAAAGAGCCCAACTGAATACTTTAAAATGTTGTGAGTTTGGCCAGAAAGGAAGCTCCAGTAGAATTGTGGACTGCAAAGATGGAACAGAGGAGATCTTGACTAGTGAGAAGGAACAGGAGAATAGAAAACATGGCCTAAGGTCATCACAAGAAGCGGCAAGACTCCTTCCTTTGCAGCCTCAAAATTGCAAAAGTGAATGGCATTGCTTTGAGAAAATGGCTTCCAGACTTTGAATGCCTTTGAGATGACTTTGCTTCCAGAAGTATGGTGGCCTACAAAATTTGTTTCTCAGAATTGGATTCAAAGTGCTCAGTGATCCAGGCACTTGACCCTTACAGCCAAGAGAGAAGGAACCCTGGCTACTGCTCCTGCTAGCAGTAGACCTTGGCATAACCCACGTGGCACTGATTTTAAGTGCATGCAGAATGCAAGAGTTGAGAATCAGAAAGGATTCCACCAAGATTTCAGGAGGCCTGGGAGCCAGGCAGAAGGCTGGGAGAAGGCAGTATATAAAGCTATGAATGTAGGACAAAGTGCAGTGGCGAGCCCAGAAGTTTAGAGAACCATGGAACTTGGATCATCTGAGGAATGGTTCCAAGAGAGAAGCCATGGACGTTACAACCACTGGCAGTGCCATAGAGGCAGAGCCACTCAAACCCTTGGAGGTCCCATCTTCCCAGATGGGCTCAGATGCTACACATGGAACTACAGGATTTACTGTTTCCCCTGATGGATTTTGAACCTGCTTTGGTCCCATTCCTTTGCATCCCCATTTGTAAATTTTGGAATGAAAACGTCCATCTTGTGCTATTGAAGGTTGGAAGCGTTGAACTTCCTTTTCATTTGTACACGGGATCACAACTAAGAGTTTGCCTTAAATCTCAGAGGAGACTTCTGACTCGGACTTTTCAGCAATGCTCAACTGTTAGGATTTTGACAACTCTTGGAGATGGACTAAATGCTTCTTGCATAAAGGGATAGGCATGAGTCTTAGGGATGCCAGGGGCAGAATGCTATGGTTTGTGTCTAGATGTCTCCCCAAAGCCTTACAAGGTCATAGAGTGTTTTTTGAAGGTGGCTGACTCTAGAGTGTGATTGATTCATAGTGCAATGTTGGGATTAAGGGTACTGGGATTAAGAGTGGGTGATTGCAGAATCAGTCCACTGATTAGATTGGCACTGCCCTAATCCCACTAGACTGGATAGAATATAAGGGACAGAAAGAGGCTTGACTCACTCTCGCTTATTGCTTTTGCTATCTTCTGCCACCGTGAACTGTTTCCTATCTGCAATATGACACCCTGCTTTGGAGCTAGCAGATTATGGACTTAAATATTTACAAACTGTGAGCTAAATAAACCCTTCCTTCCTTAACTTTGGATACTGGGTATTTTGTTTCAGCAGTGAGAGAAAATACCTAAGACAGGCTGTTTCTGAAATTTAGATTTCAGAAGCAATTTAGGGCTACACAACTGCTAGTGCAGGTACTGTGGAGTGAAATCATGACTGTTTCAAGCTGTTCATCTGGAATCTATTTTAGGAGTAAGTAGTGCTTAGCAACCCAACAAACATAGGTTAGCATCTTGTGCCAATCTTTTAATTGGTCTCTGACTTTAAAGACAACATTTCACTTTATCTGAGGTAGTTTCCTTATACGTTGTTATGTAGAGGCAATGGTAGTATATTCTGGTAATAGTCGATACTTTGTAGTAGTACTATGAGCTAATGAGCATAAAAAAGTTTGGAACAGACAGGCTCTTTCTCAGTTAAATAAATGTTCATCAGGCATAGTTCATGTTTTCTAAATTAATTGACAACAAATTATCCAACAGATATTTCAGTCTTATAGTAAATGCTATCAGCTTTTGGTAGAGCCAACCCTGTGTAAATAACTATCATAAATTCAAGAATCCAGCACTTTCAGAATTACCAGAGAAACTTGTCCTGGCATAACTTTGAAATGTCTATAAATTTTTAGGACAGAAGTTTAAATAAGAAAGAAAGCACAAGTTGATGCAAGCTCTATATTTCTGTTTAGTTTCCACTGTGTCACTACTACTTAGGACTAGGTAGATGTTCAACACAAACTTATTTAAAAAAATGAAAGATAGCAATAACTTCAAGAAAGAAGAGGAGCAAATAAGAGAAGGCAAAAAGATTCACACACATACCACATACCCCCACAAATACCATCAGACCCCAGACTCCCCTCTCTCAAGTTTGGAGTTCACACAAGAGACTAGACTGTGGAACAGAAAAGAAAACAATCCACCATTGTGTTAAGTCCATTTAAACAGTAGAGTTAAAATCGTCTTCCTCTGATAGATGACACTGATTTGTGTCCAAGAAAGGTACAGAATCATCTAAGTGTTTTCTTCCCATCACCTAAATATTATAGTTATAATAAGTATCTGATATCAAATAAAATATGATGTGGAAATGTATGAAAATCCATGGTGAAAGAGGATTCCCTTTTCATCCACTGAAATATCAGTAGTGTTCAGCAAAAGTAACATGATCCAATATGAGTCTCATGGGCAATTATAAAAATTCCTCTTTAGCAAAAAGAAAGAAGGGGTGGTAGATGTGATGCTTAAAATCGTTAGAGATTATCCCAAACTAGATCTTCCTAGAAATGTAATAAGGTGAAGAAAGTCAATAACATAGACCTCATAAAGATGGTAAAAGTATGGTGTGCCTACTACTGCCACAATGAACTAAAATTCTTCCATGATATCCACATAAGATTACTTGAAGGATCCCCACAGATAACAAAATCCCCAGAAGCTTAACTCCCCTTTACAAAGGAGCATAGCATTTGCATGTCATACACACATAGCATCTCATACAATTTAAATTTTGTCTACATTACTTATAATAACTAATACAACATAAATTCTATGTAGATAATTGCTATGCTGCATAATTTTAGGAATAAAAATGAGAACAGAGTTTATACATATTGAACACTCATTTTCAATTGAAATATTTATCACTGAGGTTTGGTTGTATCAACAGATCCAGGAACTGTGGATAAGCAAGGCCAATTGTGTTGCAAATATGGTGGCTTAAAATGATTTAAATTTGTTACCTTACAGTCCTGAAGACTGGAATCTGAAAGAAAGATTCTCACTACAATAAAACCAAGGGGTTAGCAGAGCTGTTTTCCTTCCAGGGTTTCTGGGCAACAATCTCTTTTTTCAGGCTTACTTGACTCCTAGATTCCCCTCTGTCTTTAAAGCCAACAATGGCCTATCTACTTTTTCTCAAGCTGCTTCACTTGGACATTGCATTTTCGGCCTCCCTATGACACAGGTTTGACAGAACTCAACCATTTAGTAACCTTAATTGCATCTGCAACCTTAATTGTCCTTTGCCAGGTAACATATGCGTACATGTTCTGGAAGATAATATGTGGGTACCTTTGGAGCCACTTACTCTCACAAAGATGGGTGAAGGAGGCGCTTAAGTGAATTTTGAAGTGGATGGCAGAGACCGCATCAGTTTTCTGTTGCCCCATTTGTCCCATGCAGCAAGCAGAGACAGCAAGGGCTCAAGAGTAGCACAATGTGGGGGTGAAAGGAAAGGATTCAAAAGCAGCCAGAACTCTGACTTGAGAAAGTGGGTGTCCTGTGAGTCCTTCGCCTGGGAATAACTGGTGAACCTAGGCAGGGGTCTATGGCTGAGATCCAAGCTGCTTCGGGTCCAAGTCCCATTTCCACACTGCCAAATATCATGAGGGCCTGGACAGGATGGCAAGCGCAAACAGGAAAGCACAGTGGGTTGGGAGCCAGGACTGAGGTCTCACCTGGTGCCTGACCCTCGGCCACTAGGTAGCAGAGAAAGAGGGCTGTATGACAGACTCCCTGCAAATCCCCACAGGAGGCCTTGTTTCTTAGGCAGCTGTGGGGACAGCATAATGAGCACATGAGTTCCCATTTGGAATTGAGAAACAATCAGTGTGGCAGAAAGAATGACTCTTGGCCCGGCCCGGTGCTTGGTTTCCTAGGGCTAGAGGTCTAGGTCAGCCTTTCTGTGAAAGACGAGCAGGCTCCAGGGGCACCCATCACAGGTGCCTGAACCGCAGAAGCGCCTTCTTCATCTTCATGGCTCTAGAAGCAGGAAAAGACGAACATGGGGGAGCCTCCTCCGCAGTGTGCTGGGCATTCATGCCCCCCCCCACCCCGCCCAGCATCCAGAAAAGAGGGGGAGTGGAGAGAGGTGCAGCCTCACAGAGGGGCGTTCGGTATCCATCCGCTGCCGCCTCCAGCACTGCAGTTGCCAAGCTCCCGGCCTTGCTGCCCCCTCCCCGCGCATCCCCGCCGCCCACAGCCGCCCGCCCGTCCCGTCCCACAGGGCACGGCAGCCCTGGCGTGGCGTGGCGCGGCGCCGGAGACGGGGTAGTGGTCTGCACGCGAGGGTGCGCCCGGCACTCCCGAGGCAGGCTGGCGCGAAGCCGCCCCCCAGACTGCGGTTAGCGCCGGCCCCGCCCCCCCGCGGGTCGGGACTACGGTGGGCCTGGGAGGGGGCGCCGCCCTTCCCGCAGTATCCCTCCGCCCCTTCCCGACACCCTCGCGGCGCGCGGTTCCTGCCGCAGCGCGTTCCGCGCGGCCGCTTTGCTGCAGAGGCGTGGGCGCGGGCGCG